GATACACTGGAAAATTGGGTGTGTAGAAACATGTCGCGTATTTTGGGTAGTGAGATTATTTGTTGTGAGTATAATATTAATTTATGTGGATACAAGGAGATGGGTATGGAGAGGATTTTATTAGAATTTTAGTAATGTAGGGAGGAATGTGTATTACATTTTAAGATTCAATAAAAAGAAGGGAAAAATTTTGTATTGAAAGAGGAAAAATTGTGAATAAATTGGTAAGTGATGAGGGTTGTGGGTATTGTTGTCGAACTAGAGATACCGAAAAAGATGTTATAAGTGGGTTGTTGTGGGTGTTGTGGGTTGTGGGGTGTTGTGGGTTGTGGGTGTTGTGGGTTGTGGGTATTGTTGTCGAACTAGAGATATCGAAAAAGATGTTATAAGTGGGTTGTTGTTGTGACTTTTTCTGATGAAATTAGTTAAAATGAGAAAAAATAGTGGGTTGTGGGGTGTTGTGGGTTGTGGGTGTTGTTGTCGAACTAGAGATATCGAAAAAGATGTTATAAGTGGGTTGTTGTTGTGGGTGATATGGGTAGTGGGTGTTGTGGGTTGTGGGTGTTGTGGGATATGGGTGTTGTGGGGTGTGGGTGTTGTTGTTGTCGAACTAGAGACATCGAAAAAGATGTTATAAGTGGGTTGTTGTTGTGGGTGTTGTGGGTTGTGGGGTGTTGTGGGTTGTGGGTGTTGTGGGTTGTGGGTGTTGTGGAACTAGAGATACCGAAAAGATGTTATAAGTGGGTTGTTGTTGTGGGTGATGTGGGTTTGTGGTGTGTTGTGGGTTGTGGGTGTTGTGGTTGTGGGTATTGTCGAACTAGAGATACCAAAAAAGATGTTATAAGTGGGTTGTTGTTGTGGGTGATGTGGGTTGTGGGTGTTGTGGGTTGTGGGTGTTGTGGATTGTGGGTATTGTTGTCGAACTAGAGATACCGAAAAAGAGGTGATTCTGTTGTAAGTGTTCGTGTGTGTTTGGTTTGTGTTCATGTTTTGTGCGCTCATGTTATATCTTAGTTGGAGGTGAGTGGGATCGTCTTGGTTATAGTGATTTGAGGGGATTTGTGTGAAAATGGGTGTTAGTCTGTGATGTTGATCTTAGTTTATGGTGATTTGACTGTATTCAGTGCTGTTTTAGTAGTATTCGGTGGTGTATTTGGGAGTACTCAAATGGTGTTTGAGACTATTCAAAGGTGTTTTGAAGGTGTTCAAATGATGTGCAAGAGTATTTATGAAGGTGTTCTGGGAGTATTCAGTGGTGATTTGGTGGTGTTTTGACCGTATTCAGTGGTGTTTTAGTAGTATTCAGTGGTGTATTTGGGAGTACTCAAGTGGTGTTTGAGACTATTCAAAGGTGTTTTTAAAGGTGTTCAAATGATGTTTTTGGAGTTTTCAAAGGTAATTGGTGGTGTTTTTGGTGTTGTTCAAAGTAAAGTGGTGTGTGTGTGTGTGTGTGTGTGTATTAACTTCGTAATATGTAAAATTGTGACTAGTGAATTTATCGAAAAGTGGTTATAAGTTGTAAGTGTTGTGGCGACTTTTTCTGATGAAATAGTTAAAACGAGAAAAATATCTAGACATGAGGAGAGTGAATCTTTTGTAAAGAAATTGTGGATTGTTGTGGGTATTAACGAAAAAAATGTGAAATTATTTGGGTTATCCGTAAAAATCTGGAGAATGAGGGAGGAGTTTTGGGGGATGAGTTGTAATTTAATGAAATATGTAAGTGTAGATAAATTAGAGATGTCAAATCTTATTTGGGAGCATTCAAAATGTTGTCTTGGAAATGTTTTAGTGTTGTTTGGAAATGTTCAATGGTATTTTTGTGAGTATTCAATGATTTATGAGAGTGTTTTGAAGATGTTCAAAGTAAAGTGAGGTGTGTGGTGTGTTGGTGTGGTGTGTGTGTGTGTTGTGTGTGTTGTGGTGTGTTGTGCGTATTAACTTCGTAATATGTAAAAAATTGGTGACTAGTGAATTTATCGAAAGTGTTATAAGTTGTAAGTGTGTTTTACACCTGGATTTACATTGGAGAGAGTTTTCCGGGGGTCAACGCCCCCGGCGGCCCGTCAGTGTACCAGGCCTCCTGGTGGATCAGATCCTGATCAACCAGGCTGTTGCTGCTCGGCTGCACGCAAACCATACGTACGAGCGCACAGCACGCAGATCCGGAACTGACATTAAGGCGCTGTCCAGTAGCCAGCTTGAAGACCCAGGGTCAGTTGGTAATCCCCCTAAGTATGCCTGGGAGGCAGTTGAACAGTCTCGGGCCCCTGACACTTATTGTATGGTCTCTTAACGTGCTAGTGACCCCCTGCTTTTCATTGGGGGGATGGTGCATTCGTCTGCCAAGACTTTTGCTTTCGTAGTGAATGATTTTCGTGTGCGAGTTCGGTACTAGTCCCTCTAGGATTTTCCAGGTGTATATAATCATGTATCTCTCCCTCCTCCGTTCCAGGGAATACAGGTTTAGAAACCTCAAGCGCTCCCAGTAATTGAGGTGTTTTATCTCCGTTATGCGCGCCGTGAAAGTTCTCTGTACATTTTCTAGGTCGGCAATTTCACCTGCCTTGAAAGGTGCTGTTAGTGTGCAGCAATATTCCAGCCTAGATAGAACAAGTGACCTGAAGAGTGTCATCTGATGAAATAGTTAAAACGAGAAAAATGTCTAGACTTGAGGAGAGTGAATCTTTTGTAAAGAAATTGTGGATTTTTGTGGGTATTAACGAAAAAAAATGTGAAATTATTTGGGTTATCCTGGGTTAAGAGTGAAAATGTGTAATGTTTTCCCTATGTTGTATATGGAATGTGTAATACTGCGATGGTGACGACGAAGAAGATCCAGAACAAAATGCACAGAATTTCTTCAAGAGAAAAACAATTACTCTATGTTGATTTTAGTCAATGAATTGCACCTTTTCTTCAATGAATTTTTTTGTTGGATGTATATGAAATGCATTGGTTGTATAATAAATAGTGTTATCCTGCATTTTAATGTCTGCTCGACAAGATTCAGCCTGTGTGTGTGGTCATCACGTGACGTCACTGACATAGGGGGAAGTCGACAAGATTCAGCCTGTGTGTGAGGTCATCCATCACGTGACGTCACTGACCGCCGAGTAAACACAGGTGGAGTGACGCCACACTTGTTTAGACCTGTAGTAAGAGGGGGAGTACATTTGAATGCTTACCCCCAGAGGGGGAAATCCAAAAACTTGATCCGAGAAGATGGAGTCTTTGTATTATTTGATATCGAGAAAAACTTGATCCGAGGAATTGGAGCAGGGAATTTGGGGTGGAAGTGGGTGGTGGGAGGGGTACCCACAGGGGGAAACCCAAAAACTTGATCCAAGGAGATGGAGGAAGAATATTTGGGGTAGAAGTGGATGGTGGGGGGAAATCTTTGTATTATTGATATCGAGAAAAACTTGATCCGAGGAGATGGAGCAGGGAACTTGGAATGCAAGTGGGAGTCCATTTTGAATGCTTACCCCCAGAGGGGGGAATCCAAAAAACTTGGTCCGAGGAGATGGAGTCTTTGTATTATTGATATCGAGAAAAACTTTGATCCGAGGAGATGGAGATCATAAGAAATTCAAAAAAAAATTCGAAAAAAATTGGGATGTGGGTGAAAGTGGGAGGGGAAACCTCAAAAACTTGATCCGAGGAGATGGAGACCACAAGAAAATGAAATTAAAAAAAAAAATTCGAAAAAAATCAGGAAAAAATTCGGGGCGCGGGGGCGATCTGGACGACGCTGCAGAAGGCACAGGTGGGCGCAAGGGCGTGGGCGCAAGGGCGCGGGCAGGCGGGCGCGAGGGCGTGGCAGGCGGGCGTGCGGGGCGCGAGTGGGGGGCGTGGGTGGGGGGGTTGAGGGCAAGGTGGTCAAGGGTGAGGTGGTCGAGGGTGAGGTGGTCGAGGGTGAGGTGGTCGAGGGTGAGGTGGTCGAGAGTGAGGTGGTCGAGGGTGGGGGGTCGTGGGTGGGGGTCGTGGGTGGGGGTTGTGGGTGGGGTCATCGGTGGGGGTCGTGGGTGGGGGTCGTGGGTGGGGGTCGTGGGCGGGGGTCGTGGGTGGGGGTCGTGGGCGGGGGTCGTGGGTGGGGGTCGTGGGTGAGGTCATTAGCATAAAGGTGTGAAAAGGAGACCGCTCAGCTGCCGACCTTTCGGGAGGAGACTGCTCAGGAATACAGCGCTCAGCCGCAGAGACCGCTGAGCCGCCTTCGGCACTACTTATATATATATATATATATATATATATATATATATATATATATTAAATATATATATATATATATATATATATATATATATATATATATATATATATATATATATTTGTGTGTGTGTGTTATACATGAATGGTATACAGTATCATCATGAAGAATTATACACATGTACAACATATGGGTAGGTATCTTTATTGTATACGTTTCGCCATCCAGTGGCTTTATCTATACAAATTCCAGGACATAATGGGAAGATATTAGAACTAAAATCAAAAGACAAGGTAATCAGTCCCTCAGCCAACTCTTCACGTCCATAAAGAAACTCAGATGTTTCACATGTGTCTAATTTTACGTATATGTTGTGTGGGCAGCGCTGTTCATCACAAACATGAATGAGAAGAATAAGGAAGATTCGTTCGTGAGACAAAAGATGAAGGACTTCTGGGAGTCACATGAACCATCGTTAGAGTCCATGCTACTCTGCCATGACACGATTCCCCTGGCCAATGACGACCGGAAGGAGATCCTCTCCTACCTCCCCAACTACCAAGGCAAGAAGGTCCTAGAGCTGGGAGCTGGAATAGGGTGAGTAGGACATTTTATTTTTATTATTCGTAGATTTTATTTGTTTTATTTCAATTTGTATACATAGATATTGCCTAGTAGCAGGTTCAGTACAGTACCACTGAACCACGAAACTTACAATAGGAAGGTTTTAGGTTTTAAAGACAAGTTTGTTGTGTCAGGCCTATGTCAGGGACCAGTAGCTGTGACTCAACTGTCACAGTTCGAGTCCCAGTCCATTCTTCTGTTTATTTACTAACAGTCATTCATTACACCTCATCTTGAGTTCATAGAGTACTGTATATGAGAGATGTATTTTTCATCATATGTACTCTTAAGAGTAGTTTAATCCTTCATTTAGAAATTAAAATATTCTGAACGCTATTTTATATAAAGTGTGGCCTTAATACCTACATACAATCTACAGGCATCAAACCTAATACATTATCTCTGCACAGGAGGTTCACCTGTAAGCTGGCATCAGTGGCAAGCCACGTGACTGCTGTAGACTTCAATCAGACTTACATCACTGAGAACCACAAGCACAACCATCACCTAGGCAACGTCACCTTCACCTGTGCTGACGTTACCGAGTGCGTATATGCTCACCCATGCTTGTGTACACAAATATAGTCACATAACATGTGCACATACTGTCAAACCTACATATTCATTAATGAATCATGTACAATACACGATACACACACCAAAAGTGATGATAGCAGTGATGTACAACCCGCCACCGAACAGCAAGAGGCCAACACAGGAATACGATGAAAGTAACAGAATGATCGAGGACACTAGCCGAGGTTGTCAGATGGGCCCACATGACCAGGGCAAAGTTACTTATCATGGGGGATTTCAACCATAAAGAGATTGACTGGGAGAATCTGGAGCCACATGGGGGACAAGAGACATGGAAAGCCAAGATGCTGGATGTGGTACTGGAAAACTTCGTGTACCAACATGTTAAGGACACAACCAAAGAGAGAAGAGATGATGAACCAGCAAAGCTAGACCTCATATTCACCATGAGCAGTTCAAACATAGGGGATATCACACACGAAAGGCCCCTAGGCCCTAGTGATCACGTGGACTTGAGTTTTGAATACATAGTACAGTTAACAATGGAGGGTGAAGCAGCCGAGGACAGAAGCCAAATTTCCAAAAAGGGGATTACTCAAGTATGAGGCAATTCCTTCATGAAGTGATTACATAGCAGGAACACTTCAGTCTGGAGGTCCCAATGTGGTAATTGCAGTGATGTATAACCCACCACAGAACAGTAGGAGGCCAAGGCAAGAGCATGATGAGAGCAATAGAGCGACGGTTGACACACTAGCTGAGATGCCCAGAAGGGCTCATGCGATCAGGGCAAAGCTGCTGATTATGGGTAACTTCAACCACGAAGAAATCGACTGGGAGAACCTGGAGCCACATGGGGGCCCAGAAACGTGGAAGGCTAAGATGATGGAGGTGGTACTGGAAAACCTCATGTACCAACACGTAAGGGACACTACCAGAGAGAGAGGAGAGGATGAACCAGCAAGACTGGATCTAGTATTCACCTTGAGTAGGGCAGACATTGAGGACATCACATATGAGAGGCTCCTTGGGGTCAATGATCATTTGGTTCTGAGCTTCGAATACATAGTAGAGATATAAGTGGAGAGGTATACAGGAAGGGCAAGACAAATGATGCCAAACTACAAGAGAGAGGACTACACAGGCATGAAAAATTTCCTACATGGGGTTCAGTGGGACAAAGAACTGACAGAGTAGTCGGTAAAAGAGATGATGGGATGTGTGACAACAGTATGCAAGGAAGTTGAGAGGTTTGTACCCAAGGGCAACATAAATAACGAGAAAGCCAGGATGAGCCCTTCGTTCACTCAAAGGTGTAGAGAGGTCTAAACCAAGTGTGCTAGAGAATGGAAGTATAGAAGGCAAAGGACCCACTAGAATAAGTAGAGTATTCGTAGAGCCAGAAATGAATATGCACAGGTAAGAGGGGAGGCCCAGCGATAATATGAAAATGATATAGCAGCGAAAGCCAAATCTAACCTGAAGCTGTTGTACACCCACATCAGGAGGAAAATAACAGTCAAGGACCAGGTAATCAGACTGAGGAAGGAAGGAGAGATCACAAGAAACGAAAGTGAAGTATGTGAGGAACTCAACATGAGATTCAAAGAGGAGACAGAAGGGACTCCAGAAAGACAGAGAGGTGGGGCACACCATCAAGTGTTGGACACAATACATACAACTGAGGAATAAGTGAAGAGGCTACTAAGGGAGCTTGATACCTCAAAGGCGATGGGGCCAGATAACATCTCTCCAATGGTCCTGAGAGAGGGAGCAGAGGCACTATCTATGTGTACCCCTAACAACAATATTCAACACATCTATCGAAACAGCGCGACTACCTGAGGTATGGAAGACAGCAAATGTAGTCTCAATTTTTCAAAAAAGGAGATAGACACGAAGCATTAAACTGCAGACCAATGTCACTGACATGTATAGTATGCAAAGTCATAGAGAATATTATCAGGAGAAGAACGGTGGAACACCTAGAAAGGAATGAGCTTATCGGCGACAGCCAGCATGGTTTCAGGGACAGGAAATCCTGTTTTAAAAACCTACTAGAGTTCTATGACAGGGTGACAGCAGTAAGACAAGAGAGAGAATGGTGGGTAGATTGCATTTTCTTGGAGTGTAAGAAGGCATTTGAGACAGTTCCAAAAGCTGGAGGACCAGGCAGGGATAACAGGAAAGGCACTACAATGGATTAGGGAATACCTGTTAGGAAGACAACAGTGAGTCATGGTAAATGGCAAGGTGTCAGAGTGGGCACCTGTAATGAGCGGGGTTCCACAGGGGTCAGTCCTAGGACCGGTGCTGTTTCTGGTATTTGTGAATGACATGATGGAAGGAATAGACTCCGAAGTGTCCCTGTTTGCAGATAATGTGAAGTTGATGAGAAGAATCCAATCGGACGAAGACTAGGCAGAACTACAAAGGGATCTGGACAGGCTGCAGGCCTGGTCCAGCAACTGGCTCCTGGAGTTCAATCCTACCAAGTGCAAAGTCATGAAGATAGGGGAAGAGCAAAGAAGACTGCAGACAGAATACAGTCTAGGGGGCCAGAGACTACAAACCTCACTCAGGAAAAAAGATCTTGGGGTGAGTATAACACTGTACGAATTATTTGCTCTTCCATATTGTATTATTTTTGTTACTACTACTACTACTACTACTACTACTACTACTACTACTACCACTAGTGAATCTCGAAATGGTACCTCACTAGTATTGCACCTCACTTAGAGCCTTTATATACCCTCTGTGTCCATGTATTGTTTGTAATGGCTTGATAAAGCTCCTGGAGAGCGAAACGTTGCCACAATAAATGTCACATTAGTTGCACTTGTGTCCTTTTACTTTACATATTGTCGGTAATTCTACCAACTTTATTACACATCCACTGAAATAGGGCAACTACCTGAGGTATGGAAGATGGTAAATGTAGTCCTCATTTTTAAGAAAGGAGACAAAAACGAGGCACTAAACTACAGACCAGTGTCACTGACGTGTATAGTATGCAAAGTCATGGAGAAGATTATCAGGAGGAGAGTGGTGGAACACCTAGAACAGAACAAGCTTATAAACGACAACCAGCACGGATTCAGAGAAGGAAAATCCTGTGTCACAAACCTACTGGTGTGTTGTGACAAGGTAACGGAAGTAAGACACAAGAGAGATGGGTGGGGAGATTGCATTTTCTTGGACTGCAAGAAGGCTTTCGACACGGTTTCTCACAAGAGATTAGTGCAAAAGCTAGAGGATCAGGCACACATAACAGGAAGGACGCTGCAATGGATCAGAGAATACCTGACAGGGAGGCAATGAATCATGGCACGTGACGAAGTGTCAGAGTGGGCACCTGTGACGAGCGAGGTTCCATATGTGTCAGTCATAGGATCAGTGGTATTTTTGGTATATGTGAATGACATGACAGAAGGGATAGACTCAGAAGTGTCCCCGTTTGCAGATCATGTGAAGTTAATGGGAAAAAATTAAATCGGATGAGGATCAGGCAGGCCTATAAAGAGATTTGGACAGGCTGAAAGACTGGTCCAGCAAATGGCTCCTCGAATTTAACCCTGCCAAATGCAAAGTAATGAAGATTGGGGAAGGGCAAAGAAGACTGCAGGGAAGGAAAACGATCTTGGGGCGAGTATAATACCGAGCACATCTCCTGAGGCACACATCTACCAGATAACTGCTGCAGCATATGGGCGCCTGGCAAACCTGATAAAAGCGTTCCGATACCTCAATAAGGAATCATTCATGACTCTGTACACCGTGCACGTCAGGCTCATACTGGAGTATGCAGCACCAGTTTAGAACCCACACCTGGTCAAGCACATCAAGAAATTAGAGAAAGTGCAAAGGTTTGCAACAAAGCTATTTCCAGAGCTCAGGGGAGTGTCCTACGAAGAAAGCTTAAGGGAAATCAACCTGACGATCCTGGAGGACAGGAGGGTTAGGGAAGACATGATAACAACATACAAAATACTGCGAGGAACTGACAAGGTGGACAAAGACAGGATGTTCCAGAGATGGGACACACAAACACTTACATTATTTACTCTAAAAATACAAATTCAAGCAGTCTCTGATCCATTATTATTATTATTATTATTATTATTATTATTATTATTATTATTATTATTATTATTATTATTATTATTATTATTACTATATTATTATTATTATTATTATTATTATTATTATTATTATCATCATCATCATCATCATCATCATTATTTTCACAAAGTGTTAAACACATATGGGTCATTCAATGCTGATTTGATTTATTCTATAAGTTTGTATGATCCTGATTAATAGAATATTCACTTAATACTTGAAACCAGTTTGAGTTATACAGCGCTGTGAGTAAGGGTGTGCGAGAGGTAGAGGTGAGGGTGTGCGAGAGGTAGAGGTGAGGGTGTGCAAGAGGTAGAGGTGAGGGTGTGCGAGAGGTAGAGGTGAGGGTGTGCGAGAGGTAGAGGTGAGGGTGTGCGAGAGGTAGAGGTGAGGGTGTGCAAGAGGTAGAGGTGAGGGTGTGCGAGAGGTAGAAGTGAGGGTGTGCGAGAGGTAGAGGTGAGGGTGTGCAAGAGGTAGAGGTGAGGGTGTGCGAGAGGTAGAGGTGAGGGTGTGCGAGAGGTAGAGGTGAGGGTGTGCGAGAGGTAGAGGTGAGGGTGTGCAAGAGGTAGAGGTGAGGGTGTGCGAGAGGTAGAAGTGAGGGTGTGCGAGAGGTAGAGGTGAGGGTGTGCAAGAGGTAGAGGTGAGGGTGTGCGAGAGGTAGAGGTGAGGGTGTGCGAGAGGTAGAGGTGAGGGTGTGCGAGAGGTAGAGGTGAGGGTGTGCGAGAGGTAGAGGTGAGGGTGTGCGAGAGGTAGAGGTGAGGGTGTGCGAGAGGTAGAGGTGAGGGTGTGCGAGAGGTAGAGGTGAGGGTGTGCGAGAGGTAGAGGTGAGAGTGTGTGAGAGGTAGAGGTGAGGGTGTGCAAGAGGTAGAGGTGAGGGTGTGCGAGAGGTAGAGGTGAGGGTGTGAGAGAGGTAGAGGTGAGGGTGTGCGAGAGGTAGAGGTGAGGGTGTGCGAGAGGTAGAGGTGAGGGTGTGCGAGAGGTAGAGGTGAGGGTGTGCGAGAGGTAGAGGTGAGGGTGTGCGAGAGGTAGAGGTGAGGGTGTGCGAGAGGTAGAGGTGAGGGTGTGCGAGAGGTAGAGGTGAGGGTGTGCAAGAGGTAGAGGTGAGGGTGTGCGAGAGGTAGAGGTGAGGGTGTGCGAGAGGTAGAGGTGAGGGTGTGCAAGAGGTAGAGGTGAGGGTGTGCGAGAGGTAGAGGTGAGGGTGTGCAAGAGGTAGAGGTGAGGGTGTGCGAGAGGTAGAGGTGAGGGTGTGCGAGAGGTAGAGGTGAGGGTGTGCGAGAGGTAGAGGTGAGGGTGTGCGAAAGGTAGAGGTGAGGGTGTGCAAGAGGTAGAGGTGAGGGTGTGCGAGAGTAGAGGTGAGGGTGTGCGAGAGGTAGAGGTGAGGGTGTGCGAGAGGTAGAGGTGAGGGTGTGCGAGAGGTAGAGGTGAGGGTGTGCGAGAGGTAGAGGTGAGGGTGTGCAAGAGGTAGAGGTGAGGGTGTGCGAGAGGTAGAGGTGAGGGTGTGCGAGAGGTAGAGGTGAGGGTGTGCGAGAGGTAGAGGTGAGGGTGTGCGAGAGGTAGAGGTGAGGGTGTGCGAGAGTAAAATCAAAATCATAAACAGTTCAATTCAATTCAATTCAAATTCAAAGTTTATTCTCTATAAGGATTACAATGCTGAGTTTACAGAAATTTGGTTATTGTTTGGTTTACATGTAGTAAAATTGTGATTACAGAGTGTACCACTAGAACGCTTAGCATGGCTAGGCATTTCGGGCATACTTAGTTTTATTCTTAATTGTAAAATATTACAAATTATGAGGTAAGTTGGTATTATGGCTAAGTGACTAAATACTAGTTTGTGAGTTTAGCAATGTGAATGCTTTTGTTTTGGCACAGTACATAGTTTCAGTATTGGAGTATCACAGGATTCATTATTTTAAGACTGAGATTAATATTTCTGTTTATGGTCAAATGAGTGAGCGAGTGTAAGTGTGAACCACCAGGTGGTATTCGTGTAGTTAGTTGACGGGGTGTATCAGGGAGATAAGATGTTTCAGGGAGATAAGATGTTCGATAGGTTAGTTTACTTTCTAAAGTTAAAGCGTAAGCCTATATATTAAAGATGGGACTTTCAGTAAGGAGGTTAGTTTGAGTGACAATATTCAAGTTAACATTTGTTCTACTTCTCTTCCTCATCTGTGCCTTCAACAGACTAGACTTGCCTACAGCATCGTTTGATTTGGTGTTCAGCAACTGGCTCTTTATGTACCTGAGTGACAATGAGTGTGCTCAAGTGCTCAGCAAGATCCTCTCTTGGCTCACTCCTGATGGATACCTCTTCTTCAGAGAGTCCTGCTATAAAATTTCAGGTAACTCAGATTACATAGACACATGTACAAGAGTTAGATATCTTTATTCTGAAACGTAGTTTGAGGTGGTCAGTCCCTCGTTGCTGACAGTGTGATATCCAAAGTTCTAGAGAGGGCGGTGTACTGTTAAGTAGTTAAGTTTCTTAATGACAACAACATTCTCCATAGTTACCAGTCAGGCTTCAGGAAATCTTACTCAACCGACACCTCCCTAATTAATCTGTTGGATTACATGAGAACTGAGATGTCGATAGGGAACCTCATAAGAATGGTAACCTTTGACTTGCAAAAGGCCTTCAATACTGTCAACCACAATATATTATGTAAGAAACTTCATGATATCGGCATAAGTTCTGTAGACTGGTTTAAGTCCTACCTTAGCAACAGGAAACAAATTGTCAAAATCAACAAAACAGAATCAGAAATCCTGCCGATAGCATGTGGAGTTCCCCAAGGTAGTATTCTGGGTCCCTTAATATTCTTAAGTCATGTAAACGACATGCCCATCAGTGTCAAGTGCAAACACCTACTGTGTGCAGATGACAGTGATCTGTTAGTATCAGGTAAAAACCCACAAGATATAGCTAATGTAATAACACTGGAACTGGAGTCTGCAACAAAAGGCTAGTAGACAACAAACTATCGTTACACCTCGGGAAAACGGAAGCCATACTCTTTGGCACGAAACCCATATTATTTGCAGATGACACTACATACGTCTTCTCTCACCCAAACCCAGATCATACTGGCTAACACAGTCAATGCCGAATTGCAGAAAATATCTACCTGGATGATGACGAATAAACTTACACTGAATGCTGACAAAATTTATTTCATTCAGTTTGGAAACAGAACTGCAAATGTTCTACTAAACATAACGCTAAATGGATCACCCATCATAAGACTCACAGAGGAAAAATTCCTAAGAATCCACCTTGACAATAGCCTCAAATTCCAGACGCATATACAATAAATTTCCAAGAAAATCTCCAAGACAGTATACATACTATCAAAGATACGGTACTATGTTCCATAATCAGCTCTCCTTCCACTGCATCATTCACTTATCTACCCTTATCTCACTTATGGAATCTGTGCATGGGGATCAACAACATTAAATCACCTAAGACCACTAATAACCCAGCAAAAGGCTGCAGTCAGAATGATAACAAATTCCCACTCCCGACAGCATACTCCACCAATATTCAAAAGTCTAAGACTGCTCACCATTAAGAACATTCACACTTATTCGTGTGCCTACTACATACATAGAACACTACACTCAAACATAAACCCTCCACTCAAACTTTTCCTCGCCAACCTTAACAGGTCACACGACCATAACACAAGACACAGATCTCTTTTTGATGTACCCAGTGCCTATGTCACGCTGTGTAAAAACTCTATGCACATAAAGGGCCCCAAAATTTGGAATTCATTACCACTAACCAGGTCTGAACACCAATTTAAGGCTCTTCTCAAAAGCCACCTACTCACCTTAAACTAAATACTCAATACTCAATATTCAACTTTACCAAAAATCTCCCAGTTACCTAAATCTTAAAACTTCAAAACGCGACGCCCAAAGTTCATACATTGATTAAAACTACCTTGTAGTATAAATACCTACCCAAAACATTACTGCCTTACATTCAGTTGCAACATTCACATACTATAAACTACTTTCAACAACTCACAATGTTATATTCCCATTACATAATTTCAATATTTATTATTCAAACTAATTTAATTAGAGTAAAATTACTATCTACTGTAAATAAAAAAAGTGATGTACAACTTAAACAAACTATGATCAATTTCTTTAATATTAAGAAGTCTGTAATCCATTAAATTAAGTCTGGCCATAATGTCTAGGCATGATAGTGGCTCTTTGTACTGCAACTCATTATTGTAATTTCATAATCTCAATATAATCTTGCAAGGAAATAAAAATTGATTGATTGATTGATTGATTAATTGAAACATGAACTGAGAAGGCTAAATAATTGTAATATCCGGTGTGACGGAGAACCCATCATTTCAGTTTCCTCAGTAAAATATCTGGGAATCCCCTTTGACCCATGCATGTCAGGAGAACTGATAGGGAACAGTGTAGTAAGGAAAGTGAATGCCAGGCTGAAGTTCCTCTACAGACAAGCACAGTGTCTACCTACCGAGGCTCGCAGGACCCTATGTCTAGCTCTTATACAATGCCATATGGACTACGCTTGCTCTTCATGGTACTCTGCCTTGACAGAAAACTGAAAGATAGACTACGAATCACCCAGAACAAAATGGTAAGATTCATCCTGGGCCTGGGTCCAAAAGCACATGTAGGCCAGGATGAATTACAACAGTTACATATGTTGAATGTTGAAGACAGAGTAAAACAACTAAAGTTAAATCAAGTTTATAAAATTACTCACAGTGTCCAGAATATCTTGCTGCTAATTTTGTCAAGGTTGGGAACCAAAGTAATCATAGTACAAGGGGGAGAGAGCACAACTTTGTAGTAGCCACAGTCATTGGCCAGGCTTCAAACACCTTTTATTGTACAGCAATAAAGGAATGGAACAGACTACCTGCACATGTAAAGCCAGTCATTGCATGAGCCAGTTCAAGAAGAGAGTCAAAAGGTGCCTAATGAATTTAGTGACAGAAAGGGAGGAGAATGATTTATTTTTTTAGCTAACCTACATGTAAATATAAATAACTTATTTTACCTTATTCCTAGTATATCTCCTTTGACTTTTTTGGGTTATCCCAGGTTCTCTACACATATGCTGCTATGTATGATTATCTATGTAACTGTATTTGTGTATACCTGAATAAACTTACTTATCATCTTAGGTAGGTGTTTCTTGACGTGGGTCTTAGTCGCATTATGACTCACTACTGGAGCTTTCGTTCATCTGACCGAGACCTTCCACTGGCTTACCCCACCACCCCTTTAAAAATTAAGGTTATAATTATAACCATTTGTTATATATACTTTTCAACTTATAGGTATTGCATACTATTATCATACTCATACATAGACACAGCTCATGTGTTCTCTCCGAATTCAACTGAAGAAGCAGCTACACAGGCCAAACGTTTCAGCAAGAAAGACACAGAAAGATACGGTGTCCGTGGCCTGGTGGCTAAAGCTCTCGCTTTACACGGCGAGGCGTCTGGGTTAGTTCCCGGCGAGGTGATCCTCTGGTAGTTTCCGGCGAGCGTCTGGGTTAGTTTCCGCGACTGGTTAGTTTCCCGGCGAGCTGTCTGGTTAGTTTCCGGCGAGTGTTGGTTATTTACCGGCGAGGTTTGTTGGTTAGTTTTTCACTGAGGTGTTGGTTATTTCCCGGCGAGGTTGCGGGTTGTGTTCTCCGCGAGGTGTCCTGGGTTAGTTTCCCGGCGAGGTGTCGAGTTAGTTTCCAGCGAGGTGTCTGGGTTAGTTTCCCGGCGAGGCGTCTGGGTTAGTTTCCCGGCGAGGTGTCTGGGTTAGTTTCCCGGCGAGGTGTCTGGGTTAGTTTCCCGGCGAGGTGTCTGGGTTAGTTTCCCGGCGAGGCGTCTGGGTTAGTTTTCCCGGCGAGGTGTCTGGGTTAGTTTCCCGGCGAGGTGTCTGGGTTAGTTTCCCGGCGAGGTGTCTGGGTTAGTTTCCCGGCGAGGTGTCTGGGTTAGTTTCCCGGCGAGGTGTCTGGGTTAGTTTCCCGGCGAGGTGTCTGGGTTAGTTTCCCGGCGAGGTGTCTGGGTTCGATTTCCGGCGAATATAGAAACATTGGGCGTGTTTCTTGACACCGGTTGTCTGTGTTCACCCATCAGTAAAATAGGTACCTGGGTGTTAGTGGACTGGTGTGGGTCGCATCCTGGGACAAAACTGACCTAATTTGCGGGAAATGTGCTGCATAACAAGTGGCTTTCTATATAGTAGTATGTCATTGATGTCAGCTATGACTCACGAAATCGTAAAGACACGATTGCAAACAAACCATACCCCAGCTGGGATTGAACCCTCGGTCAGAGAGTCTCAAAGCTCCAGACCGTCGCGTTAGCCACTAGACCACCTGGTCTAGCGGCTAACGCGACGGTCTGGAGTTTTGAGACTCTCTGACCGCGGGTTCAATCCCGGCCGGGGTATGGTATATCAACTATGGTCTGTATACCTTGTACATGTACTGGTAGTAAATAAAGATTACATTATTATTATACATAAGTGTTGTACATATGTCTTACTCATCAACTTGTCTATATTGTATACCATTAATATGATAACACATGTATATATATATATGCACATATGACTGATTTATAGTCTATATTAAACATCCAGGCAGGCATGTAAATATGACTTAATAAGTAATACAAATGTATAAATTCGGATTTAGAAAGGATATAGACAGAGATTGGTTTGGTAATATATTGACTTGTAGACAATCTAACTTCTGAATGGTTGGGTGTGAACCAGAAAGACCCGGACCGGGAGAGTACCGGCGAATTAAAAAAAAAAAAAAAAAAAAAGACCTGTCTGGTGAATGAGACATGTGAACACTTATGTATTGCTACTTTTGAAACGTTTCGCCTGCTTAAAAGGCTTCTTCAGTCGAATACAAAAGTGATTTACATACTGGAGACATTGGAAGAGGAGGGATAATTTAAAATGTTCAGTCCCTTAGGTCTGAAGACCTGACAGAAAATGTTCAGTCCCTTATCCATGATTACAAGTGTTCAGTCCACTAACATAAAACAGAAGTACGAGTCTGGAGACTTGTTGTAAATACCAGAACATTTGTTATAAACATTTCTTTCCTAGAACTTTTCTCACTCACTAGAGTGACCAAGGTCCCAGGACCGAAGCTTATCCAAAAAATTATCCTCGTGTTTGTATTTTATGCCTTTTTGCAACTACTTGTCGGTATTTCATACCATTTTTACCAGTGGAGACATACTGGAACCAGAGGTGGGGTGCAGCAATTGGAGACAGCTTCACAAGTGGGCGGATCCCACTGCAATCATGCTCAAGTGACTGAACACCTTAAATTACCTCTCCACTTCTTTTAATGACTACAGTATGAAAGTCACCTTTGTATTAGACTGTAGAAGCCTGATGCGCAGGTAAAAAGTTTCGGCAATAAGATCCCAAGCAAGACTAGGCAAGATTCGCCAGGATACAGATCCAGAGTGTTGCTCATGGGTCTTATTCCTTAACGTGTCAGTATTGTATACCATTAATGTAATGATGGATCTGCCTGGTAGAGGGTGAAGTTTGTTTTCTCATGTTGTTACTTCTGACATGTTTAACAGGTAACATGGTGTTCACTGAGAACCCGTCACTGCTCCGCTCTCCACTGCACTACTATGACATGTTGCGAGATGCATCTAGCAACAACTTTGGCTTCAAGATCATTAGGAGCAGCAACACCCTGGCTTATATTAAAGTGAGTGAAAGAACATAGCAGAAAGCAGGTACCATGTCCTCTATTTGTTTGAGTCATAGCTTCGTATATGAGACTCAGGTACACCAGGTTTTTTGTAGATCCATAAGATGTTAGTTAGTTTAACATCTTTATTATGCACCCCATACCCATCCTGTGGGCGGTAGTCAAAAGATTACAAAGGTACATAATGGGTCCAGGGACTGGACCCCAAAGTTATGATAGCTGATGGTAAAGTGTATAAGAAATACATACAACAATAATAGTAATAATAATAATAATAATAATAATAATAATAATAATAATAATAATATCTTTATTTCTACAAGTACATGTACAATGTATACAGACCATAGCTGACATCAATGACATGCTACTATATAGAAAGCCCCTTGTTATGCAGAGTATTTCGGGCAAATTAGGTCAATTTTGTCCCAGGATGCAAACCACACCAGTCGACTAACACACAGGTACCCATTTTACTGACAGGTGAACACAGACAATTGGTATAAGGAAACACGCCCAATGTTTCCACCCTTTGCTGGAAATCGAACCCGGACTCCTCACTGTGTGAAGCGAGAGCTTTTGCCACCGGGTCACGGGCCACCCCACACAAGCAAGTCCACCTATCTGTGTATAAGGACACATAGTGATGTAAGTAAATGGTTCAGAGAACCGACAAGTTGATAAATTAGACACGAGGCCTGGGAGGCAACGTTCTTGCTTCACACACCGAATGTCCGTGCTTCGATCCCGGTACCGATGGAAAAATTAGAACATGTTTCCATAAGACACCTGCTGTCCATACTCACCTATCAGTAAAATAGGTACCTGAGTGAGTCGTATCCTGGGACAAAACTGACCTAATTTGCGAGAAATGCTCTACATAACAAGCGGCTTTCTGTATAGTAGTATGTCAGTGATGTCAGCTATGGTCTGTATACCTTGTACATGTACTGGTAGTAAATAATGATATTATTATTATTATTACTTAGGAATCTTTATTGGGGAAATGTATCGCCACGAGTGGCTTCGTCAGTCGAAATACAGAGTAATCTCAAACAGGTTGTTATATAGAAGGCAGGGCAGGTGACCAGCACAGAGGGTGAGGTGAGGCAGGAGGTGCGTCAAGTGACCAGCAGTAAGGGTGAGGTGAGGCAGGAGGTGCGTCAAGTGACCAGCAGAGAGGGTGAGGTGAGGCAGGAGGTGCGTCAAGTGACCAGCAGTAAGGGTGAGGTGAGACAGGAGGTGCGTCAAGTGACCAGCAGAGAGGGTGAGGTGAGACAGGAGGTGCGTCAAGTGACCAGCAGTAAGGGTGAGGTAAGGCAGGAGGTGCATCAAGTGACCAGCAGAGAGGGTGAGGTGAGGCAGGAGGTGCATCAAGTGACCAGCAGTAAGGGTGAGGTGAGGCAGGAGGTGCGTCAAGTGACCAGCAGTAAGGGTGAGGTGAGGCAGGAGGTGCGTCAAGTGACCAGCAGAGAGGGTGAGGTGAGGCAGGAGGTGCGTCAAGTGACCAGCAGTGAGGGTGAGGTGAGGCAGGAGGTGCGTCAAGTGACCAGCAGTAAGGGTGAGGTGAGACAGGAGGTGCGTCAAGTGACCAGCAGTGAGGGTGAGGTGAGGCAGGAGGTGCGTCAAGTGACCAGTAGTAAGGGTGAGGTGAGGCAGGAGGTGCGTCAAGTGACCAGCAGAGAGGGTGAGGTGAGGCAGGAGGTGCGTCAAGTGACCAGCAGTAAGGGTGAGGTGAGGCAGGAGGTGCATCAAGTGACCAGCAGTAAGGGTGGGGTGAGACAGGAGGTGCGTCAAGTGACCAGCAGAGAGGGTGAGGTGAGGCAGGAGGTGCGTCAAGTGACCAGCATTATGGGTGAGGTGAGGCAGGAGGTGCGTCAAGTGACCAGCAGTAAGGGCGACGTGAGGCAGGAGGTGCGTCAAGTGACCAGCAGTAAGGGTGAGGTGAGACAGAAGGTGTGTCAAGTGACCAGCAGTAAGGGTGAGGTGAGACAGGAGGTGTGTCAAGTGACCAGCAGTAAGGGTGAGGTGAGACAGAAGGTGTGTCCCAAATGACCAGCAGTAAGGGTGAGGTGAGGCAGGAGGTGCGTCAAGTGACCAGCAGTAAGGGTGAGGTGAGACAGAAGGTGTGTCAAGTGACCAGCAGTAAGGGTGAGGTGAGGCAGGAGGTGCGTCAAGTGACCAGCAGTAAGGGTGAGGTGAGGCAGGAGGTGCGTCAAGTGACCAACAGTGAGGGTGAGGTGAGACAGGAGGTGCGTCAAGTGACCAGCAGTGAGGGTGAGGTGAGGCAGGAGGTGCGTCAGTGACCAGCAGTAAGGTGAGGTGAGACAGGAGGTGTGTCAAGTGACCAGCAGTGAGGGTGAGGTGAGACAGGAGGTGCGTCAAGTGACCAGCAGTAAGGGTGAGGTGAGACAGGAGGTGCGTCAAGTGACCAGCAGTGAGGGTGAGGTGAGACAGGAGGTGCGTCAAGTGACCAGCAGTAAGGGTGAGGTGAGACAGGAGGTGCATCAAGTGACCAGCAGTAAGGGTGAGGTGAGGCAGGAGGTGCATCAAGTGACCAGCAGTAAGGGTGAGGTGAGGCAGGAGGTGCATCAAGTGACCAGCAATAAGGGTGAGGTGAGGCAGGAGGTGCATCAAGTGACCAGCAGTAAGGGTGAGGTGAGGCAGGACGTGCATCAAGTGACCAGCAGTAAGGGTGAGGTGAGGCAGGAGGTGCATCAAGTGACCAGCAGAAAGGGTGAGGTGAGACAGGAGGTGCGTCAAGTGACCAGCAGTAAGGGTGAGGTGAGACAGGAGGTGTGTCAAGTGACCAGCAGTGAGGGTGAGGTGAGGCAGGAAGTGCGTCAAGTGACCAGCAGTGAGGGTCAAGTGAGGCAGGAGGTGAGTCAAGTGACCAGCAGTGAGGGTGAGGTGAGGCAGGAGGTGCATCAAGTGACCAGCAGTAAGGGTGAGGTGAGGCAGGAGGTGCATCAAGTGACCAGCAGTAAGGGTGAGGTGAGGCAGGACGTGCATCAAGTGACCAGCAGTGAGGGTGAGGTGAGGCAGGAGGTGCCTCAAGTGATCAGCAGTAAGGGTGAGGTGAGGCAGGAGGTGCATCAAGTGGCCAGCAGTGAGGGTGAGGTGAGGCAGGAGGTGCATCAAGTGACCAGCAATGAGGGTGAGGTGAGGCAGGAGGTGCATCAAGTGACCAGCAGTGAGGGTGAGGTGAGGCAGGAGGTGCATCTAGTGACCAGCAGTGAGGGTGAGGTGAGGCAGGAGGTGCATCTAGTGACCAGCAGTAAGGGTGAGGTGAGGCAGGAGGTGCATCTAGTGACCAGCAGTGAGGGTGAGGTGAGGCAGGAGGTGCATCAAGTGACCAGCAGTGAGGGTGAGGTGAGGCAGGAGGTGCGTCAAGTTAGGTTTCTTAACACAAGTTGCTGCTACTGGACTATCTTCGACGGTCACTTGTCTTCTCTCGCAGTCTTCACAATAACCTCGCTCAATATTGCCATTACTTCTATATCATCTACAAAGTTCAGTGGTTTGTATTTGCAGAGGTCTAATCACAGCTCCTGGCCCCACCTTGAGCTACTATAACTGATATAACCTACTGCTGTTCTTTACTGTTCATGTGATACTGATTTGTAACATTGTGTGTCAGTGGGCATGTTAATGGTTTGATTAACGTCGTTATTATGTGTCACATACACGTCTGTGGGTGGTAGTCAAAATATTAGAGGCACATAATGGGTCCAGGGACTGGACCTCAGAGTTCTGATAGCTGAACAAATTACAGTGGTAATGAACTATTTACATGCTTATATCTGCTTATAATAGTAATAAGTTTATACAGGCATGAATTAGGTCACACACACATAGAAAAAAAATTAAGTGGTTATGCATTACTTACAGTGGGCAAAGTCAGGGTATTTTTACAGTGTTTGGTAATATACCACTATGGATAAAATACTTCGACATTTCTTGAATATTTTTGAGTGAGTTGTCTCTGAATTCATTAATTTTATCGCACTCCAGTACATAATGACGCAGGTGTGACAACACACTCCAGTACATAATGACGCAGGTGTGACAACAGTGCATCTGGCTAAGTTTACAGTTGTTGTACATGAATGGTAGACAGTACCGACAAGATGAAGAATTAGACACATGTACAACATCAGGGTATCATTATTTGTAGACGTTTCACTATCCAATAACTTTATCAATACAAATTCAAAGACATAATGGGAAGACTGTAGAACTATGTATAAAAAATGAGGTAATCAGTCCCTCAGCCTTGAAGTCCACCGTCGTCTTTTGTATACTGTATATATATATACTTCACTTGTTTGTTATAAATTAAATTTCATTCACTTCACGTAATTCACTATATTCAGTTATTCTCCAAATATAAGTATTGTTTATTTCTTCTTGTTTCTTTTTCTCGTTAACTTTTAGCCTTATTAACAAGTCATATTGAGAAATATTGTTAGAATCCAAGCGAGATTCTCTACAGTCTTCACATTATGTCCTTAAATTTGCAGTGATAAAGTCACTGGATGGCCAAAAGTCTACAAATAAAGATACCCAGATGTTGGACACGTATTTAATGATTATAATCAGTGCCGGATTTAAATGAAGAGACACATTAGGCTATTCCACTTGTGAGGTCCCTCACAATCCCCCACTCTTGTGAGATCTCTCACAATCCCCCACTCTTGTGAGATCTCTCACAATCCCCCAGCCTTGTGAGGTCCCTCACAATCCCCCAGTCTTGTGAGGTCCCTCACAATCCCCCAGTCTTGTGAGGTCCCTCACAATCCCTCACTCTTGTGAGGTCCCTCACGATCCCCCAGTCTTGTGAGGTCCCTCACAATCCCCCAGCCTTGTGAGGTCCCTCACAATCCCCCAGTCTTGTGAGGTCCCTCACAATCCCCCAGTCTTGTGAGGTCCCTCACGATCCCCCAGCCTTGTGAGGTCCCTCACAATCCCCCAGCCTTGTGAGGTCCCTCACAATC